CTGAGGTGTTTTCCACCTCCAGCTAACGTGTAATGATGATGATGATGATGACAGTGCGGATGGATTGATGTAAAATAAACGATTCAGACCGGATCGGAGGTCCATTCTTTAGGTGCTGACAACCAGCGAACTAGCCCGAGCAGGTAATTTTGGGTTAGCAGCTCAGTGTCTGGGCTATTACGATCAAAAGTTTTCTCCTCAACAGTTCAAAAGTAATTTCCCCTTTGAGAGAAAACGTAAGGGAAGCGTCCATTTTTTACACTGTCGTGACAGCGTTGATGGAAGGCAAATGCAATAGTTCTTTTGTGACTTCTCTGTCACGGGTTAACACGTGATGCGACACCGTCACAAAACCTCTGTTGTCAATTTTCTTTCCTGTACCACTTGTTAGATGTACTCATGAGTACGTTCTCGAAGCAGCTTCCGAATCAGATAGTCCTCCATGTGCCCCGAAAAGCAAGCACTAGACTGCCGTTCCGGCAGTTGTTCCTCAAATTTTGTTATTCAGTACAACTTCCACTACTCGACCTCACTGTTTCGGCTTGCTTTTGCGCTCCACTTCGAATACAATTTCAGCTACTTGCTAGTCGATAGTGGTTTTCACGTGGAAGTCATTATCACAGCGTGGCGTTGTAAATCGTCGGGACACGAAACGAGTGCGCTTTCAACGTACCAGTACAAGTAGCCGTGTCCTAATACGACACCTCTTACTGCTATTCAGTCTACTAATGTCAAGAACAATATACTCAGACATGATCGAGTATCAATTTCAAGTAGTGTCGGTGGATTTCATCTGGGCGTTCCAAGTTCACCGGATTAACTTTGCCATCAGTTTATAAGTAGTACACATGTGCTCCACGTTTGTAGCTACGCTACATTTGCAAAACTTAAGACCGCAACCATAGAACGAGAATGGTAACTTTTGTTGTGACGTCCCTATGTATGTTGATCGACATCAGCTTGGCGAAACAAACAATGTCTGTTCTACCTTAGGGACACGCATCTTCCCATACGGCTAATTCTACAAGCAGATAAGAGACACATCAATAGGTTCGCTGACTGATGGCCGAAGCAGTGATACCAGCGCTAAAGCGGGTAGCACTTCCAATCGCGAAATCGCAACTTTGGGTACACTACATAGACGATACCTTCGACATCCTCAGACGTTCTAAGAGGAGACACATGAACTAATCAACAGTGTATTCGATGCCATCCAATTCACGAGGTAAGAGGAGAGCAATGGTTGGCTACCATTTTTAGACCTTCTCATACGTAGAACTGTTTCGTGATCTCTGGGAACGACGGTCTATCGCAAATCAACACATACAAACCATATCCAAAACTGCAACCTCGATCGTCCGGCCGTCCAGAAGCGCAATTGCATGCTCACTGTTTTCAACTGAGCACGGACACATTGTACCACGCGACAGCGGAGGCAGGTAGAGGACGATCCTCTCTTCAATCTGTTCAACCGGACTTCGTACCCAAAACGCTTCGTTCTGCGCTACTTGGTCCCACATAGGGCAGTACAGCAAACCTCACCAAATGCAACCGTTGAAAAGCGAGTTGTGTTGCCTTTTATCAACGGAATCTCTGAAATGACATCGAGACTGTTGTTATCTATTAGAGTAAAAGTTGCGCATCAGCCAACAGAAACAGTTCGAAATAAACTTTAACGTTTAAGATAAACCTAGCACGTGGAAAAGTTTGGTATAGTCTACAAAATATGCTGCTGAGACTGTGACAGACTACGTAGAATAAACAGGAAGAAAGCTTGTCACACTGCTGCATGAACAAAGCCTAGCCCATTCGCCGTCATACTCGGAAGCCATTGATGTCAGTGCATATGAATGCGGAAAACCGCCAGTTCGATTTGGAGCACGTCGAAATCCACGAGAGCTACATACCGACAAGCACGTAAGTTCATTGAAGCCTGGTATTCAAAGCAGAACTCAATCCCTAGGCACTTGGATCTCGAATTCGCTTACGTGGCCCTGAGAAGCAGGCCGTTGAGGCCGCACTGATGTTCTTACCTAGTCTGGCAACAAAACGTCGGCAACTTAATCATTCTGCTCGGAAAGCAGTACAAGACTCAGACCGAGTAATACAGTAGACCACATTTGCTGCCAGCAACTTATTTGATGGACTGATTGTTTTCAATTCTATTCTTCTTTTCACCTTATAGCTGTTTTCGTACTATGGCTCGCAGTTGAATGGGCTCACACAGTTTGAGCTGAGTCTGCAGAGAACCTTCCTTTTAGCTAATTACGTGCCTCATTACCTTTTCGTAAATGCAACGATTATATTGTACTTTATGATCACTACCGTACAATCACGGTCATTTCAGTGCACCTGGTTCCTACCATTGCCCACAATTCTTACCGCATAGACCGTACGTTTACATTGATACCAACCAGCAGCTAGTCAGCGATTTCTTCGGCAACATCGTCACCATAGTGAGGTGCGCGGCGAGTACGTGTTATCAACGGGTTCAAACGGAACTAGGCATATGTTTTCGCTAATGCAAGCAAGTGGTGACTGAGTGCATCTTGCAATGACTAATCTTCTTTTAAATTTGCCAATTTTCTTCATTGGTCATCTAAGCAATTTGGTACTTCGGGTTATTTGCGATTACTCATCAGAGTTTTCAAACTTCCAATTCATTATTGTTTGTTCACCACCCTTCATTGGTGCGGACGGCTGAACGGCTGACGTTTGACATAGGTCAATCGTTTTCTCCACTTCTATTCTGCTCTACAGGGGCGTTCACACGATATTCTTTCCGCCGGATTGAGTTCATGTCCCTAGGAAGATCAAGTTTCTCGCTGTATGTACCACGATGGCTAATCTTTTAGCACTATGGAGCCGTGAGCACTGCGACTTATTCTGATCTAGCATGACTAGCATGAGTTCTGTCCTCTGAAATACGCGTTTTTTTCGTTGCATCTGAGGAGGCTGTTTCGTATCGAAATCTTATAATTGGATATTTTTTCTTGCTCTCCGAATCTGTGGGAAGGCAACATGTTTTTAATGCAATGTTTATTTGGTTGGAAACGGCAATTCGTCCGATTTATGCCACTGCGCGAAACCGCGGGCCACTGTTCTTAGCGAGTGTGACTTGGTTCGGTATAAATCTCATTCGGGAACCGAAGTTACCACGACCTACGTCGCCAGATTATCAATAACTTAAACCAGCAAGAAAATGAGATTGAATGCAACTGGAATATAAAAAACTGGAATCAAGAATGAAGTGCGTTAAACTAATCAAAGTGGACTAGAAATTACAAGGTAGCCGAAAAATGCCAAATGCAGGAACGCCACTCAATGTGCGACCGCGCCATGTCTGCCGAAGTCTCCAACCATTGATGTGGACCATCCATGAGGACAACATGCATCAGCCTGACCAAGTCTCCCGGCCAGTTTCTTTATGCCGCCACCTGACATTTTTTCCCAAATTGGTGCAGCGACGGCATATAATGCACGCCGATGGAACCGGTCGATGGGCATACGAAGCACATGACCTAGCCGAATTAAGTGATTAAGATTCAGTAAACATTCGAGTGAGGCACCAGAACGTATCTTGGCAAAAACCAACTGGCGTACCTCAATATTGCTTACACGGTGTTCCCGCCAGACTTGAGAAATACTCCGCACGCACCTGTGGTCAAATACAACTAGCCATTTAATATCTTTACTGCGAATTGGTCAACTCTCTGATCTATACAGCAACACTGACCTTATCGCGACGTTACAAACCCTATCTTTCACTGATAGGCTGACATCCTGCTGTCGCCATAAATGGTTGGGCCTCCGCAGAGCCACACGGGCCTTGCTGATATGCGAAGTTACCTCCTCAGTGGTGTGACCACCGGAGGTGACACAACTGTCTAGGTACGTGAACGGATCCACCACCTCCAGTGGCCGTTCAGTGATAGCTAGAACTGGTGTGTCGGTCCAGTCCTGCAGTAGCGCTTTACACTTTGAGGGTGCAAGGCATATACCAAAGATTGCAGCGCTACGAATCATCGTGTGTAGTGTTACATGACTACTACGTCAGCGTGAATGACTATACTATACTATACTATTTTATATTTTGGGCTAATTGGTATGGTGCGCCTGATAGTCTGAGAGCTTCTGGAAGCCTTTCTACAGAATTACCTTTGACCTCCGGAATGGGTTATTGATTATTCTAGTTTTGGTACGCCTACCACAATCATCACTGAAGTGACGTTGAACCAGTCAATGACACCATCATACATGAGGTAAAATTCTCGATTTGGGACTTAAGGTAGTGCACCACGGGAAGTTTCACATCATAGTTGATATTCGGGATTCTAACTTGACTGTTAGCCCAATTGATGGCTTTGTAATCACTGGATTTTGCACACGATGATGGGTAACGCATTTTCAAGCCAACGCAACTTCTTCGACTTTGTTGGTTTTCGGAACCGAACTGATCACCACCACGTGGCACCATTCAGCGCACGTCCTCGTTGCGAATGCTCAGGTGCCACCTTACATCAGCAGTACATTCGTCACAAACTTGAAAATGCTGTATTCCTTGAGGCTAAGAAGACCGTGTTTCCTTGCTCTGGTGAAGCGCAGCCCGTATTTCGGTTTCTTAAACATTACCTCTAAGAGCAAGCGGTATCCTTTTCTGGCATTAGAGATTTCGTAAATTCAGGGAGGTCGCTGCGACACTTTTATATCGCAGGGGCCCGAGGTGTGTACTTTAGCATAGTATTTGTCATCCTGGTCGGCCTATTTACCCTCCCCGCGCGACTTAAATTTTGGTTCAACTACGCTGGTTTTTCGGCCCTATCTGATTTCATTGGGTCACCGCTGACCAGGAATGGTATAATTGTGCGGCAACTTGTTCCAATTTCATGTGATGTTCCCTATATTGTTTTTGATTTTCCGACCGAGTGCCGCTTTCTTCACCTCTATCTGCTTCTGTTTTCTGTGCTTCTCCTACTGTCGGCCCTCCCTTCCGACTGCAGTCCCGGTGTCCGGTCAGGATCCGGTGCTGGTCTCGTGGAGTGCCCGGATCCACAGTCTATGCACCTCGGTGAACCGAATAATGGAAGATATCGAGGCTGCGCATCCTGAATGGGTCCACACACAGTTGGCGACGCGTATGTCAGTGGATCCGATTTTATGATTTCCCTCCGATTAGCGTTATTTGGTGTCGGTTTCCGACTACCAGGTATTACTGAGCCTACCCTCTGTCATCCGCCCCCCCTCATGTTCTGTACATCGAATCTGCTTGTTACCTCCATTTGTTTGCTAAAATAATTGAAACGATACTCCATCTCGAATTTCGTCATCTGTGCTCTCTCGCAGTTGCATGACCAGCGTAGATCGTACATTCGAATCACTTCACCATCCACTCACTCTTCATCATGGACTCCAGTACATTGCGATCGCACTAAATAGCTTTCGCAATTAGTCCACCACACCCACGACAACAGCCGAAGTTTTCTGAAGGATTAGCGTTTCGCTTTTGACAAAATGATTAGCCAGGCAGAGTGAATTAGTACACAATTGGTTTGACATTTGACAACTAGTTACACGGCAGTGATGCAACGGCGAATCAACTGGGGTAGCCTTACCTATATTGGTATGATAAATTCCTTAATGAGGGAATCACTTCAGGATAAAGAATTATTTTCGGTAAACTCTCATCAAACCATTAAATAGCACTGGTTGTGTGGAAAGCGTCAAAATGAGATGAGATTGACTTCTAGGCCACTTGAATGATCAAAATCGATAGCCTGAGACAGGGATGTAGATGGTAAGCCAACTGAACTAAAGAAACGTATACAAACCTCAGTAGTCGGAAGTAACTATCTAAGTTAACAACCATGTAACTAAGTATAACAGTGTCAGTTGGGTAAGGTAGGAGTATTGGCCATATGAATCGTTTTTCTACGCATAATTCCGGCTTCAGATAGTGAATGTAGATAGCCTCGGCGATGGATAGGAGCTGTTTTGCGGAAACCTTGGAAGTGTTCAGGTAGTGTGTAGATAACTTTGTACTTGTTGTCCGAAGCTGTATAACCACTGTTAAGGAGGTGCGACATGGTTGAACTGTCGGAGGACCTCATTTCGCCTTTGTGAAATCATGCCGAGATGTGCTCACTAATCCTCTGAGATAGGCGCCTCGTAGTGGGACTCACGTTTCGTGCACCACAGGAGCACGAGTACTGATAAACGATCACTGAACTGGTCAACGAAGATAGTTTATCTTTCAACAGTTTTCCAATCATTGGCTTCTTGTGATAAACGATTCTCAAACAAGCCGCGAAATAAGTTCCCTCAACAGCATCTTTCTGATGTCGGGATAACAGAATTCCCCTTAAATGGCATGTATATGAAAAGTCCTTTCTTACTGCTTCTAAGTGGCCTCCGATTGCGTTCCTTCAAATGTTCATGATAAATTTATAAGGATAACCATTTTCACTGAGGGCCTCGTTGATTCTGTAGTTCTTCGTTGACGGTATCCGAAATGCAAATACTGCGCTCCATGAATGCGAGAGATCGGATTAAACTTTTCTTATACTGTAGAGATACTGCGCTGTGGAAGTTCCTGAACTGCCCAGTCCATGTGTGCTTTCTGTTACAAGATCCGTCCGAGTTACGGAAGGAGTTATTCGTCCTAAGTAAAACCGACATTCTCTGGTTCGATTTCGTTGGTTGTAACACCTCACCATTTTCACATTTCTTTCCTGCTGGTTAGTACTCCTCGACGGCAGCAACGCGTCAATAGTTCGAAGTTTTCTTTCTATGAGGGTCTAAGTGGGACACCCGTCGTCTTGTTACCTGAGGGTTTGAGGCTGATCTGTACATAAGCACGCAAATATTTATTGTCTCCTGTGTAGTTCCCTCTCCCCGCGTTTTTCAGTTACGTCCGTTTGAACGGTACAACAAAATCCGTTTGTCCATTACATTGGAGGTGGGATGGGAGTGAGCGCGAATGTGTAGTACCAATCTGCGCACAGTATTATACACATTGGCAGGAGGTGAATTGCAAACTATTGTCCGTGATCGGAGGCTCCGGTATTCCATGCTGGCTGGAAATACTTCTTGGTACTTTGGTGGTTGGTTGCATGCTCCATTCGGAACACCTCGGACCATTTACTGATAGAATCCACAACGATGAAAAACTGTCATCAATTCACTGGGCCAAAGAAATCAGAATGTATGCGTCCCCAGGGCTTCGTCGCTTATGACCAACATAATAATTTTGTTTTCTGGCGTGACTGACAAGCGCATTCATCAGAGCTTCGAGTTCTGCGTCTATGTTTGGTCAATGAATGAAACTTCACCTAACCATTTTTATCCAGCCAATACCGGGATGACCTCGATGGAATTGCCGCGGATTTCTGTGGCGGAGTTCCGCAGAAATGGTAACTCGTTCGACTAGAAACTAACACCCTTTCACGACTGATACTTCATCCATCCTTAGAAACAACTCGTGCAGCTCACCTGTCAGGTCACTGTGTGATGTGGTATTTGATCGCTTGTTGAATGACTGGACCTCGAAATGATGCGGTACCGTAAAATGGGGTAACTTTGGGCCAACATGAAAAAAGTATAAAACTTAGATTACGCTCATTTTTCTTATTTTGTGTGGTCAAATTAGTTTTATGTATGGAAAATTCGTTTTTCATTAATTTGAGATCATACAATGATGAACGGGTATATTCATTCTTGGTTATGCTGCTTGTCAAGGATGGCCGGTATCATGACAAGGATATAACATACGGTATTCTTTCATCTATGAAGTATATTTCTAGAAAAATGTAATTGGAACATCTCTGTTGTCGCTTTATGAATAAGTACTAGCGAACACAATGTCATGCATTATGAAACTGTCTTGGTGGTCAATATTATCCCAATAAGCTTTGTTATTTTGATGTGACTTTGGCCAAGTAAACTTTGAAAGAGGCACTAGGTATCATTAGGGGATTATGAACTTATCAACGTCAACAATTAGCCTGATGTTTGCCGGCATCGGTGATGGAGAGTTACTGCCGCCATATGTAATGTGTCTTTGGATCACTTGGACGGATAATGGTCCACCAGGTCAGGCTGGTTTGGCAACACTTGTTTTTAGATTGGTTTCAGCAAGTGGCATTACATTTCTGTCGCAGAAGAACTGGCCGTTGTTTCCTGTGGGATGATAATCTCAGTTCACACTTTTCTTGACATTGTCAGATTGCAATTGGAAACAATATTGCTATTTGTTGCCTCCCACCTCTTCCAGCCTCTGGATATAGCATTGATTCGGTCTATGAGGACCCAGTGGAGAATCATCCCGCGGCAAAATGGCCCAAACCATACAGAAGTATAGGTTTTCCGGGCCTCTCAAACTATTTATGGATACCATAGGTGTAGGTATTGCAGAAACGCCTGTACTTAATAAATCTCCAGTCTGTCCTGAGCAAATTTCCAAAGGAAAATGAAGAAGTTGCGGATGCAGTCAGCGCATCCGTTTTTTGGCTTGTAGGACTAGTAGATACTAGTCCGAGACGGTGCGCGCAATTAAGCGCGGATATCATAAGGCAATTGGTCTCGGGCACGGCGGACTGTATTCGATGGGTTACAAGAAGACGCAGACGGATGAAGCGTGCTAAGGGCAACACGTTAGCGTGGGAACTTACAAGGTGGTAAAGTGGTGAGCCGGATGTGGGTCAACATGGACGTAATGTAAGGGAGATTAAAACAAGAGAGAATAGTGTACAATTGGTCCTCGGTGAAATTGTACACAAAAGAGAATTGCTTGCTTTTGAGGCGCTACAGAGCTCCTCCTAGAAGGCTGATCAAAAGAAGCCTTCGAAATAGGAAATGATGGGTGAATCGAAGTTGGTTGGGCAAAATCGCTCCGGGTGAGTGGGCGTTCGGGTCAAATGGAGGCTCGCCGGAAGTCGGAGTTCGCTGTGCCGTTTGTGATTTATTATTTATTGATTGCAGGACAGGGTGCATTTCAGCGAGCCGTTGGAGCTGGCTTGTCGGACTACCAAAAGAATGGTTAGTTAAGAACTAGGCCGACAGGACCTCAACCTCTGCTTCTGCCAAACGGTGCACTTGGGAGTGGTCACTTTCCCCGTCGCACCATGCCCCGTGCCAAAACGACCCTCGTCCCACGGAGAAGCTACCATCGTCCCACGAGGAAGCGACCATCGTCCCGCGAAGAAACGACCAGCGTTTGCTTCAGGGTCCTCGTTGACTGCGCCGATACTCGAAAACATTGCTCAATCAAAGCGGAGGGTTGGGGCATGTAGAGACGAGAAAATAGAAGCACACGCAGAAAACGTCAGAAAGAACAAACGAATGATCTGCATGTCTAGATTTTTGGGTTTTCGAATATTTCTTAGAAAAAGGTTTTTCGGAAATTTTTGATATTTTGTTTTCACTAAGTTAATAGACCAAAAACCTGGCAAATATGTACAAGATCTACAACCCTAAACGTATTTACACTTCACGTAGTCGGAAAAACGAACTGGCTTGCGCACCTCCAATCCACGGCGATTGGTCATGAGAGGCGGCGGACTAGATTCGGGAAATGTCGGGACGGCTGATACTTGTAGACCGAGGTCGTAGTCTGGTTTAACTACGCTCGGATGCTGAAAGTTGCTGCGGAGAGTTGTGATGTCGCACGAAGCACTACTAGACGAAGTAGACGAGGTGGCATCCTCCATAAAGGCCGGCTTCAGACGGTCGATGGTGACGATTTCGCGGTCAATAGTGTACGTCTTATTCGCGTGCTGTAGCACTTTGAAAGGTCGTGTACGGCGACTGAGTGGGCTGTCGAACAACGTTTGCGCGAAGGAGAACGTGTGACAGCTTGGACGCGTACACTGGTATCTTCTGCGATCGAGGAGCGGGTGGACGCAGCTCACGCATCTGGTGAGCCAATCGATTGGTGTAAATTCCGTAGTCAAAAGAGGTAGTAGTCGGGGCTAGTGCTACTAGCTGTCCGGGCAACCGCAGCGTGCAGCCTAGACTAGCTGCGCTGGTGTTGTCTCGAAATCGGTTTTAACAGTGTTTCTTACGCCTAGAAGGACGAGAGGAAATGTTTCAGACAGTGAAGGGTATCCGTGCCCACGTTGCGCAGTCTTCAATTGGTGGTGAAAACGCTCCACCTTGTCGTTAATGGCCTGATGATACGCCGTCGTCTGAACGTGGCGACAGCTTAAATCCTTAAGCAACGTGTCAAATGTTGACGAGAAATGTGGCCCTCGATCTGTGGTCACGGTGGTGGGACAACCGTATTGAGCTACTCAGCGCTCCAGAAATGCTTTCGCTATCGTTTCCGA